GAGGGCGTAGAGTTCCCTAGAGTTAAATATCCGCCTACAAATGCCCCAGACGAATTGCAATTACTTTTGGTGGCCTCATTATTAGAACGGGACCCTTGGCGATGGCGTCCGCCCTTAAGCAAAGGCTTCACGTTCGCGGAGCAAAACAGGTCCATGCAGGCCTTCCCCGATGCGCTCCGTTGCAGGTTTATCCCACGGTCTGCAAGGGAGCAGGCCGTGGCAGAATTGCGAAGACTTAAGCAAGGGAAGCTGTCGATATAGCGCTACATTGAGAATTATAACTCCTTGGTGAACCGAAGCCCTATGCTGGATCCGCAGCAGCTCTATAATTGGTTTGTAGCAGGGCTGCCCTCCGCAAAGAGGCAATCAGTAACCGGCTGGGCTACGGACACGTAAATAAAAGGTAAAAGCGTGGAACTCACTGGCATGAGGGAGCATCTTCGCAGAAAAGAAAGGAAAAATACCCATTCCACAGCCTTAGCCGAAAGGGAAAAAAAGTGGGGCTGAGAATGATCCTTATTTGGAGCCAGTGGATATTTGAGCTGTCAACACCAGAGCAGCCCAAAAGGGGGCTAGAAGCAGTAACTGACAGCAGCCAGTGAACTCAACACCCAGAATGAAAGAAGGAGATACCGAACGGCGTACTTGCTCCGTTTGCAGTAAACAGGGTCACGTACTTCGAGATTTTCGGCTTATGAAAACAATTGGAACCAAATATCGAAAAACGTCGCCATGCAAACAAACAGAGCAATCAGGGAAATTTCCGGCTCATCACTCAACGTGCGGCGCAGTGATGAGGCCAGATGAAATAACCGCCGAACCCGCAGATCCACCTCCAATCAATTCAATTGTACAAGTATGCATGAAAGGCCAGGTATTACTTGCCCTACTCGGTAGGAGATGCGAGGTGGATCCGATATCAGAAGCCATAGCAAGGAGGTGCAGTCTAACCTTCTCTTCATTGGGGTAATCTCTGAGGCTAAGCTTCCCAGATGGCAGGCAGGATACAAGAATAGGCAAAAATGCAGGAGTAAAGTGCTCTCTTGGTTACAAAACCAAGCACACTAAAATGACGAAGGTTTTCTTCGCTGGACCAGTTCACCACGACATAATCGTAAGCGTGCCGTGGGTGACCCAGTGGAAGGTGCAAATGCTTTCCTCTGATGACGCCATAGAGGACTTTCTACCAGGAACTGATGCGAGTATGCAGCTCTCAGCGCTCCCAACAGCAGTTGCATCTTCTATGGACAGATGACTGGAAACTGTGTCCCAAGGAAAGCGGAGCGAGGAGGCTCCCATAGAGTGCATACGCAATGAAGGGAACGACGGAGATGTGCATGCACCACCCCGTCGTAACGGTCTGATAAAGATTCTCGAGGAATTCGGTCAACTGAAGACGGAGGCGCTGAAGAAGTTGGAAAAATTGAAGGGAAAGTTCTCAGATGTACTCAATAACAAGGAGCTACTGGCCTGCAGGCCACCGGCTCGACTCTCAATGCACCCAATCGAACTCATTCCCGGCGCTGCCCCAAGGTACCGGCGACCTCCCCACCTCGCAGGGGAAATTGAACGGCATGCGGATAAAATTCTAAGAAAAGGCAAGGATCAGCCGTAAAATAGCGCCTTTGGGCACAATCCCGTGCTGGCGAAGAAAAAGAACGGCAGGTGGGGCATCTGCGTCGACTTCAAGAACCTCAACAAAATCACTGTTAAACGAAAGTTTCCGATGACCAGCGCCGACGAAATTCTCGACCGCTTAAGCTGTTCAGCGGTATACTCAGCATCTCAGTTCGCTGAGGCATCTTTACAGATCCAAATTCATCCGGAGGACAGGCACAAGACCGCGTTCCAGACCCAGACTAGCAAGCTGTAGTACACCTGTATGCACTTTTGTATATAATATTCGTGAATGCAGCTAGCAAACTGAAGCGGCAGGTCAAAGACAGCTTCGTGGGGCAAATCACTCAGGGCTGGATGGTAATATACATGGATGATGTGCTTGCGTTCAGCCGAAATGTGCAGGAGAGCATGAAGCACATCCGGCAGGCGCTGCAACAATTACGTGAGAAGCAATGATCACGCCTAGACCAAAACAATATAAGGCTTCCCAACCATGTCATTTCATGCCTTGTGAGCCGCCCACAAATTACCAAGGCCCCAGAATCATGTTCTGTCGGGGAAACCGACTCTGACGATCTCTGAAGGGGGGCTCCGAAGAGCTGCGAAATGCTCCGGGGTGATCGCGTTGCGCACAGGATCTTCTGAAACCCACTCAGATTCACAGTTTCCCGGCAATTTTCCGTAGTATTATCGTTTCCTATGGCCTCTGCTAGCGGTAACCCGTGCTTCTAGAATCTTTGTATCATCTACGCCTGGCTTCTCGCGATGACGTTGCTGTTGTTTCCACACCAGTGTGCGAGGGAAACCCCGATGTTACCGAAACACTTTTCAGAAGCCGACGTTAATATTGTGATGGCATCTCCACGATGAACGTAAGTCAATGATGCACGCCAACGCATTGACAGGAGAGCGGACAACGAAAGGCAGAACCCATCGTGTGGCGAAGTTTTTGGTTTGGTCACCCTCCTGTGCGATACGGAGAGCATGCGAATTTACTAGAACCAAGTCGTCTGGGTTAGAAAATGAGCGCTCAACGTCTCTTGTCGTAGTTTCTGGCTTGGCGTTCCTGCACCTCTCTCATGGACTCGCGCGCTGCTGCGGGCTGTGTGCGGAAGTGAGGAATCGAGCTCATTCGGGGCTGGCTTTCAACAGCGGGATCCAGCGTAGGGTCAGCTTTCTGTTAACGAGTGCACTGCAGTGTTATATACCCAAACTGCACAAGCAAGAAAATCAAGCCAGTTAGATGGGTTCTATTAGGTGTAAACGCGCAAATACTGCACCGACGTGCGGTTAGTCCTTTCGGCCTGATCATCTGCCACAGGATGGGTGACCGTCGCCACGTAGAGGTCAGTATTGGGCCGTTGCACGAGGCTGCGCCAGAAAGCGCTAACGAAGTTCGGATCCCTGTGGATAACGATGCTTTATGGGAAACCGTGGGGCTTTTACACACGATTAATGAATTGTTGAGCCACTCCTTCCGCAGTGACTGTAACCGGACAGGGAATAAAAAGGGCGTATTTGCTAGTCGATCGAGAACGGCAGATACTCTCATGACCCCTGACTGGTGGTAAGCCCGCTATGAAATCCATTGAGATATCCGTCCACATCCTTTCGCGAATTGGAAGGCTTTGGAAGTGTCCGGGTTTGAGAATGTTTCTCAGCTTTTGCTGCTGGCAGTCGTAAGCGCAGCTGCTCAAGGGCCTGAAGCTGGTACGAAGAGCAGCCGGCCTGTCCTGCTGCAGCACACCGTGTTGCATCTCCTGCGAGAGGGCAACCACACCTGTAACCATACCGAAGGACCCGCATGATGCATGCACTAACACTGCTTACAATTGTCACACACTTACTTGAACCTCAGTAACGAATCTTCAAGCAACCACAAATACATGCAGAAACTGCAGAAGAGCAAAACACCATCAGCCTTACCGTTGCATGACCTCCTGCAACCGCACCGAACCGATGCTTTTACCGAGAAGGCAATTCATTCATTCATTCATACAGGGCCTGTACCTTTGTCAACTGCAGGATTGCCTGTGTGAGGTTGGTCTGTATGTTCCTACGTGCGTGTAGGTTGACCGATGAAATCCAAGTATACGCTCAACAATTGTCTATTCTGTTAGCGCATGTGGCGGTAGGGCTTGATTGTTGATGCACGTGGGGTTTCGTTGCAGCTGTGCACATACATGGAGTTGCGTTGCAGCACGAGCTGCAGCAGGGTACATTGCAATTCGTGTCAGGCCGCGTCGTCT